TGGAGTATTTCAATTTACCCTTATTTATGGTCAGATTACTTATTTTGCCAATGAAAGCCTGTGCAAATTTATTTGTTGTTCCTTTTGTTTTTACCCTAGTAGACTATGATATCTTCTCTATGTGACATTAGTCTTATGTAAAACCAGCAATAGGGCTGAAAGAACAATGTGAATGGATGAGTGACAGAATAAATGAATGAAACATTGAATCAATAATCAAACAAATGCATAGATGAAGCTAAGTCTGATGGCTCAGACTGCTATGCCAGATGCTTGGGATGCTGAGGCAGAAGAGAGGCAAATTTAAGGTCTTTCTTTCTTATACAGTGAATTCAAAGCCAGGTTGGACAGCTTACAACAATGATACCTCAAAATTAAATAAAAAGCTAAGTGAAAAAAAATAAGTGGAGTGTATCAATCCATCAGTAGATACATATAAATTAGAAATATTTAGCAAATAAAAAACAGTATATTTTTGTGCTAGGGAATCGTTCTAAAGTAGTGAAAAAGATAAATTTTTCATCATTATTGGAAATGCACTTTAAAATGATAAAGGAGTGAAGTGACACACATGTCAGAATGACTTAGAGGAGCAGGAAAATGCCAGGACCCGTCAAGTGGAGCAAGTAGTAAGCAATCAGACTTGCAATTGGAGACGGACAGTGTAACCAGACATCTTAACTGCTTTCCCTGATAAAAATGAAATTACATGAAAATTAAACTGGCTTAATAATGTCCTCCACTGTAAGAAATCTACATGCATTTTATATAGTGGAAGACTTAGTTATTAGCCATGAAAAGAAACAGATTTTTGACGCATTCAGCATCAATGATTAAGGCCAACTACATCATGTCAAGTAAGAAAACCAGACTCACATGTCTAGACATCATCTGATATCTACATATATATATATATATATATATATATATATATATATATATATATACTGGAAAGGTTAAAACTATGGAGACAAACACAAGAAAATGACTGTCAGAGAACACAATGGGAAAGAGATTCATTACACGGAATCACAGGAATATTGAGAGAACAATAAAATATCCTCTACCTTGATTGAAGTCATGATATATTAGATGGGAGTCAGAGTCACAGTTTATATAAATGAGCATGACAGAAAGATGAATTTACTGACAAAACACACTTCAATGCATCTAAATTAAAGGAGTAATGGAAGGTTTGAGGCACAGTTTTTGTTGTATGTTCTGTAGAAGAACGGGTAAATAAGTGTAGCTAAAATAATGTTAGTCATAAGGTAGCAAGCAATAAATTTAGTGGGTGAGAATATGATGGTTCAATTTTCTCTGTAATTATAATTTGAAAGGGTGTCACTGCTGTGTGGTGGTGATGTATGCCTTTAATCCCAGAATTTGGGATGAAGAGGCAGGCAAATCTCTATGAGTTCAAGGCCACAGGGTCTACAAAGTGATTTATAGGAAAGCCAGGACTAAACAGAGACATGTGTTTCAAAAGGAAAGAGAGAGAGAGAAAGAGAAAGAGAGAGAGAGAGAGAGAGAGAATGAAGGAATAAAAAGAAAAGAAAAATTGACACAATAAAAATGATTTATGGATGTTTTTATAAAGCTATGCTTAGTAAATAGATATTAAGAGTAGTGAACTAATAGTATGCATAAGTAAAGTTTATTTTAAAAAGTTGAAGAAAGTTTCATGTTTTAAAATTGTCAATAAATTGTATAAAAATTGAGCTAATTGGAGCCACAAAAACTTTACAATAAACAGAAAACTAAGATACCAAATGAAATTTTCATAAGTGCATCTTTTAAAATTGTAGCGGGTGATGTAGATAAACTTGTGAAGTGCTTGTCTAGCAAACAAAAAAAAATTCCATGATCAAATCCAACGGTAGCTTAAAGTAAATGAGGTGGTGCATATGTAATGAATTACAGTACTTGTGAGGTGGATACAGCTTAATGAAAAGGTCAAAGTCATCCTTGATAAATAATGATTTGAGGTCATGCTGGAACAGACAAACAAAATTGAAGGACCACCCATTTTCTTCTCTTAATAAAGTAAAGAACAGGCACTAATTATGTGGCAGCAAAATAATGTTTTTCAGAGGGTGATATCCAGGGTGAAAAATGTACTACTTGAAAAAGTATACATGTATATAGACATATATGTACCTGTGCATATGCATATACACATATGCATATTTATACATTTGAGTATGTGTGGAAACAGTAGAGACTCTCCTCAGTCTCTCCATCTGCCTTTTTTATCCTTTTGATTTTCTTAAGTTGTATTTTTGAAGTTATAATATCATTACATTTCTACCTTTTGTTTCCTGTCTTCAAACCCTCCCATGTTCTTTTCTTAGCTCTCCCTCAAAATCGTGTCCTCTTTTTCACTAATATTATTCCATACATATGATGCTCATGTGTGTATATACTTTCATATTCCTAAATATGACCTGCTGAATTTCTATACTATTATACTCATGTGTATGTCTTTCTGGTTGATCATTGCATATTGGAGAACCCATCAGTGAGCTGTTCTCTGGGAAAGATTATTTCTCCCACTATCAGAATCCCTTTATTGCCTGTGGTTATTTGTATAAGGTTGAGGCTTTGGGGCTTTCTCACGTTTAATTTGACATATTAATGGTGTTTCCCATGTTCAGCATATGTTCAGGCAAAAGTGTTTATGAACCTTATTAGTTTAGCTTCTGACATTACTAGATAATACAACTTCACTTGATGCTCCCTGATCCTCTGGCTCTTATAATTTCCCTGTCCTCTTTCCTGCAATATTCCCTGAGCCTTGGATTTAGGAGTCATTTTATGGATCTATCCATTGTGCTACACAGACCTGCATTTTGATTGCTTGTGATTTTCTATAATAGTCTGCAACTATTGAAAATAGCAGTTTATTTGATGAAGTGTGACAGTATAAAGATACATATTAAATTGTTGTTATGTATTATGCTGGTTTAGTAATGGCAGTTGTAGAGTCTCCTCAAGATCTATGATTTCAGTTGCACTGAACATTTGATTAGGGTTTCGGGCCTCACGTGATTTCAGTCTTGTTGAGCAGGTCTCATATCCAGTTAGGGAACTATTGGTTACCAACAGGTATGCAGACTATCCCCTTATATTTGTTGTGTTATGCTGGTTTTTATAGATCACAGGTATCATAGCTGGGTTGGGTTGCCCCATCCCTTGGAAGTTCGTTTGGCACTTCTGGTACTATAAAAGCTAGTCTTCAGGCAGGGGCCATTTATGCCAGTTCCTGCTCAGAGTTCTCTGATCTTTGTGTCCGAAGTGCATGGTGTCTTTGGTAAATAGGGACTTATCTGCAACCTGTGGAGAGACAATCAAGGACAGTATCAACAGACTGTATGTTCTGGGAGTCCATTGAGCAGTTTTGACAAACAATTCAAAAGAAGACCCCTGATGTCTGATATTGAGGTTTTGTTAAATATTGATAGAATTAAATAGTCTTTGTCTTTTGATGACAGTTTGAGAAAAATTCATTTAAATAATATAAGTATATTCATATTTAGTATTGTGTTTATTATACATTCCGTTCTGTCTACTCCACCTATCTAAATCCTGCCCTATCAAAAAGCAAAGGCAGTTTCTTTATTAACCAATGAGAGTAATGCATAGACAGATCCACTCCTCCATCAAGCAAGGTAAACACTTCTCTGCTGCTGGTGGGAGTGAGAACTTGTACTGTTACCTTTGAGAATCAATATGGTGGTTTCACCAAAAATTGGAAATTAATCTACCTCAAGACCCAGCTATACCACTTCTGGGCATATACTGAATGGATGATCCAGCCTATCACAAGGGCATTTTCTCAACTACATTAATAGATGTTTTATTCATCATGGCAAGAAACTGGAAGCAACCTAGATGTCCCCCTACTGAAGAATGGATAAGGAAAATGTGGTACATTTTATGCAAAGGAGATAGTTAATAACATAATTTCTGATGGTTTTTGAGATAGCCTTAATATTATTTTTCCTTCCCCCGACACATCTTCTGTATTTACTTCATTCCCTTTGCCCAAATAACCTGCTTTTCCCATTTCTACGTCAGGTCCTTTGTATCCTGCTAGTCCCCTTAACCTTCTCCCTCTTCTGTATTTACCTCCATCTCTCATTTCTAAAGAGCACCCCCATTCCTCTTTATTTGATCAGATCACCTGTACACACCAGCATCATATTACCACTTACAACGAGTATTTGTGGCCATTTGTGGAATGATTACTGCAATGCTGTGAGGCATGAGATAGAGATTTCAAGCAGTGTTCACCTCCATTACCGTTTGGTACCTCTATTGAACACCTATCCAGTCTTTATCCTCCTGTTTAGAGAAGCCTCATTTCAGTTCTTATCATTCAACAGAAGGTTATTTTGGGAGGGATTATTTTTTGGCAGCTTATTTTCTTTTATCAGATTGTGAGTTACCTTTTGTTACATGAAAATATTTATAGTTTTAAATTTTATTTTTTTTCAATCAGCAATTGGTATACACTGTCTAGTACTTATGTATTTCATACTTTAAAGAATAGGTTTATTCAAAAAAAGTAATCTTCATTTCTTGTTAATATTTATGTAAGATTTAATAACAACAACAATTCACAGAGTCTTGTAATAATACAGCTTTTCTCTAACATACTATGCTTGAAAGTTAGAGAATAATTAATGTGGGATATTTCATTAAATTGAAAAATTTGTGGTATTAAAAATAACCTTATAATTTTATTCAATTCTCAGTGTCATTTAAGATGATTAAACCAAATACACATGTGCAATATTTTTGTATCAATTTATGACAATTTTATGTGTCTTATCACAAAATATTATAATAGGCCAATATAAGTAGTTTAAATAATGATCAAAAAGCTACTGTGATGAAGAAGCAGTAAGAACATTTTGTATTAATGATGCAACTAATATTGATATAGTTTTTCATCAATTGTGAAACTCATTAAAGTTTTATCTATTTAATTCTAGTTGTGTTGCTTGATACAACTACCGTGATGGGAGAGCTAGGATGGAAAACATATCCATTAAACGGGGTAAGTTAAATATCATTAAAGTTTCAAAGTTACTATTCACCGTGGGTTTGTAGGATTTTCTATGAAAGTTAAAGGAACCATGGATTCATGTAGATGTTTGTATATAATTTAAGTCATATAGAAAAGATTAAAGTCGAGTTGAACTGGTAATATATGGGAACTTGTGCTCTTTTAAATTAATAATTGTTCTTTTGTATCACATTTTAGGCATAATAATTAGATATGTATACACATAACCATTTTCATTAAAATAAATTTATGTTTAATTGTATAGTTCCATGATGTTTTTTTCTGTAAACAGGTTATATATAATAATTTTAAAGGTATCTGTGTATACACAAAATATATCATGGTTTGAATGAACAAATACTAGCAATATACTGGTGGACAGAAAATTCAATTTGCCACAGAAGTGTTTGGGACTTGACTAGGTGATACATTGTAACTACCTTTCTGAAATCTTGAAAGTTGCTTCTAAAGTCTTATTTAAATGTGTAATCAATAAAATATATTATTTTCTAAGTATTTATATTTTAGCTATGGTTATTATTGAGTTTTTGTATATTTCAGTTTGTTTTATATAATGCCTGCTTTCCAATGTATTTCTGCTTTATTTTTATATTAAGCTAAGCTAAAAGGGCGGTTAGTAAAGGTTTTTACTTTTATTTATTTATTATTAAAACACAAATTAAATAGATATAGCTAAATGTTTTCAACAGCTTTATTACTTTTATTTTTCTTCTACAATTGTTCTTATTCATCCCTTCTTTACTGATAATGTTTTGCATTGCTTCCATTATTTTGTCTTCAAATACGAATCTAATAGGAAAAATTCACCTTGGAATATATTTACATTTGTAGACTCTTTCCCAGAAACAGACATTTTGCATCAAATGTTATTTGTTAAGCAAGTGTTTTTCAAACTCAAACTCAAATTATGCAGAGTAAAAATCTTCTTTTCTTTTAATTGAGTATTTACTTGTCATTTGTTTTATATATAGTCAATGTGTAATTTTGTATTTAAGTTTATATTTTATTCTATTGTAACCACAAATTTCTGTAATAATGGTATTTCTAGAATTCACTGTATGAACTGATAACACATAATTTCATAACTATTTCCATAAAATCCCTATTCTAGAATCTTTCCCAAAAATAGACATTTTCTATCAAGTGTTATTCATTAAACAAGTGCTTTTGAAACTAAAAGAATTATGCTGATTTTTCTCTGTTTTTTAATCCCAATTAAATTGACTCCAAATTTACCAAGTTAATCAGAGAATAATAACTTTTGTTTTCGTATCTAAATAGCAACTGCATGTATCCTAGTTACAAACTGTTTATAAGATATTTGTAGTTATAAAAATCAGTTAAACTAGGTAAAAGAGCTTATTGTCTATAAGCCAAATATCATCATTTTATAGGGTCAATGTTTACCACATGAAGAGTCAATGGGACATCCACTAATAGTTTTGTTTATGCATTGTGACACCTGCATTTGTGAAATAACTTATCAAAGCCCAAGACCATACTACATTTTGAATCATTTTATCATGCATTGTTATTTTCTAAAACTATATATATTTGTTGAACTCTGAAAATAAGAACTTTATCGACAATTTCTTTCTGCAAAAGTGAATGAAAAATTTCACTATTTTCCAAACTGCTATTTAAATGTTTTACTCTGAGAAACTCTACAACATATGTGGTGGTGTTTTAAATGTCCTATATGCTAATTTCCGCTGTACTATTTTACACTTAAAATAATTGCATTCAGTTTAATGAATGAATAGAATAATTATACAAATACATATTTCATTAATTTTAGTGCTCCAGTGACATTTTATTACATCTTAGTGGTGTGTGTGTGTGTGTGTGTGTGTGTGTAAAATGCCTAAATTATGGACAATAAACAACATGCAGTTATTGTTATCTCATTCCAGTATGTAAATTCCATGGATCAAATTGGAATTTACATACCCTTTCTAGATGAGCCATCTCATTGGTCCTAGTCTGACATTTTATAGCTATGAAAGTTTAATCTTTTTACAAAGAGAAGAAAACATTAAGAGTATTCATCATCTTAGACTATTGTGAGGATAAAATATTTAAGGGATAGAAGAAACTAAAGAAGCATATTTTGCCAGGCAGTGGTGGCGCACGCCTTTAATTCCAGCACTGGGTAGGCAGAGGCAGGCAGATCTCTGTGAGTTCAAGGTCAGCCTGATCTACAATGTTAGTTCCAGAACAGGTTCCAAAGCTACAGAGAAACCCTGTCTTGAAAAACCAAAAAAAAAGGATTATCATTGCAATAACTCTAAATATTTTTAAAAAGAGAGAACTGAAACACTTGATGTTACATAGGTTGCTTGTTTTCTTTATTGGAATTGTCTTTCCACCATAGGTCAGTTATTTTTTCTTTTGCACTAAAAGCAATATGTAATCATCACAGTGATACATTAAGTAAGTAAACTGGAAGTAAAAATGCATATGTGTTTAAATCTATTGCAATATAAACTAATGTATATATTCTGACACTGAACATGAACTTCTTGAAAAATAACATACTGATTATCAGATTTTCAAGGTTTGTTTGTCAATAATATATGTAAGTGCTCATTCTTTATTACCTGAAATCTCGTGCAAGAAGAAAGAAGTATAGCAATGTAAATTAGATAATCTCTGACCATTTCATAGGTTGGTGTCTAAAGTTTTATTTATCTAATTTCTCTCTACATACTTCACAGGATTCTGAAACATATATTTTCTTCTTTCCTAAAACTTTCACCTTTTCTTGTAAGATAAGTGATCACTAATTACCTTAATTTTAATTTAACTAAAAATAACTTTATTGCTATTTTTTACATTTATCTACTTGTGTGCATGTGTAAGTGTGTGCACACGTGTATGCAAGCCAGTGCATGTGCAGTTGTGTGTATGTGCACATGCACATGCATACCCATGTGTATCACATTCTTGTGTGTAGGTCCAGGGTTAATTTTCAGGAATCAGTTCTAATCAATTCTAAATTATCCGAGTTGTTTGTGTGTTTTTTTTTTTTATCTTTTGCCTCTGGGATCTACCATGTGACCTACAGAGATTAAACTCAAGTCTCCAGGCTTGTCAGTAAGCATTTTCTCATTGGGCCGTCTTACCAAGCCACACACTTTATTTTCCATGGTCTATTTTGTAGGATATTATTTAGATACGCTTTATGTGTCTTGTACAAAATCCCTGAAAACTAAACTTAAGGTAAAATTTGGCTCACAGTCTATTATGCAGAGAATTCATGGAGAGAACCTTGATATAGTTGGTCATATTACATTCAAAGGCAGGATAAAAAAGAAAGCTAAAACCTAATGTTCTTGCTCTTTTTCTCCCTTTTATACAATCCAGAACCCGGTCCACATTAAGAGTGGTTGCTTTCTATCTCAATTAAACCATTCTAATAGGTCTCTCAAGCCAAGCCCCAATACAAAATCAGTTCACTTTGGCAAACAGTATGAACAATACCAACTCCATGTCCCTTCAACTGAGCATTAAACTATGTAACTAAGAAGTCCTAACTTTCCAATAAAACTCATGTTGATCTCATAATGCAAAATTTATTCAGTTCAGTTTTTAAAAACCCCTGTAGGCGAAGGCTGCTTGTTTGCTCCCGATGCCCAGACCTCAAATAATTGCACAGAAACAGTATTAATTAAAATATTGCTTAGCCAATCAATTAAGCATACTACTAGCCAACTCATATCTTGAATTAACCCATTCATATTATTTTACCATTAGGCTCTTGGTTTACAAATAAGGTTCTGGATGGAAGTTTGTATCTTTCTCCTCCGGTGGCTACATGGCATCTCTTTAACTCTGCCTACTCTCTATATATTTCTCTTACTGCCTGACTATATTCTGTTCTGCTATAGGCTAAAGCAGTTTCTTTTATTAACCAATGGTAGTAAAACATAATCACAGCATATGAGGTGAATCCCATATCATTTATCCTTTTTCTGTCTAAGTAAAAAGGAAGGTTTTACTCATGTTTTCCCTCCTTCTGCTCCTCATTTGAACCTCGGGAGCTCAGTCCATTGCTCCAGTGTGGGTCTCTGTCTCTATCTCCATCCATCGCCAGATGAAGGTTCTATGGTGATATGCAAGATATTCATTAGTATGGCTATAGGATCAGGCCATTTCAGGCTCTCTCTCCTCAGCTGCCCAAGGACCTAGCTGGGGACATCTCTCTGGAGATCTGGGAACCCCTCTAGAGTCAAGACTCTTGCCAACCCTAAAATGGCTCCCTTAATTAAGATATATACTTCTCTGCTCCCATATCTACCCTTTCTTTATCCCAACTATCCCATTCCCCCAAGCTCTCCCCATCCTCCCCTTCTCACTTTTCTCTCCCCATCTCCCCTTTCCCCCATCCCACCCCACTGCCCAGTTCCAAATTTTTGCCCAGAAATCTTGTCTACTTCCAATATCCAGGAGGATAACTATATGTTATTCTTTGGGTTCACCTTCTTATTTAGCTTCTCTAGGATCGCGAATTATAGGCTCAATGTTCTTTATTTGTGGCTAAAAACCAATTATGACTGAATAACGGGAGCTCACCAAGGCCAGCTGGACTGGGACTGAAAAAGCATGGGATGAAACCAGACTCTCTGAACAAGGCGGACAATGAGGGCTGCTGAGAAGCCAAGGACAATGGCACTGGATTTTGATCCTACTGCATGTCCTGGCTTTGTGGAAGCCTAGTCTGTCTGGATGCTCACCTTCCTAGTCCTGGATGGAGGGGGGAGGACTTGGACTTCCCACAGTGCAGGGAACCCTGACTGCTTTTAAAACTATTGAGGGAGGGGGAGGGGAGTGGAAATAGGGAGTGGGAGGAGGGGGAGGGAAAAGGGATGCGGGGAGGAGGCAGAAATTTTTAATAAAAAAAAATTTAAAAAAGGAAGGTTTTAAATTTAACATAGTAAACTTACATATTGCAAAACAGTTATCCAGCA